TTTGTGGCAGAGCCAGGACAGTTCAGCTGCTGGATTTACTAGATTCTGCAGCAGGGCAACGGGAACCAAAAATTCATTCTGGGTAACTGAGAGTGGTTTTTACACCCAAAGACACTAAGGCTGGCAACAGTATACTGGGAACCCTGGCTTTTCAAAATTCCAGGGCCATGAAGTCATCCCTAGCCACGAAGTTTACTTAACCCTTGCAGCCCGCTCGGGTGTACAAACCACTGCTCGAAAATTAGAACCCGCCAGGCCAGAGTCACAATGGCCCGTGTGTGTATTTGCGGTTTTCCTCTTTCCCAGTGAAGTATTTAAGGTTTCAGAGTCACCCCACCAACTTCAAGTAAAACAGTCAGCACTTTAGAAGGAAATGGGCAGAAGTAGTGGATTTTTCGGGAGGATTTTTCTGGGTTCATCCCAGGAAGGATATTTGGCAGCCTCAAAGCGCACACTTTGAGGAAAACACCAGTGCAAAATAAGCAGGAGTGGGTACTGACGGAGACGACCATCGAAGCGGGGTCATTTAGCAGCCGGTCGAGTGGGCTTTGTGGCGGCTTCATAGGAAAGAGACCCATCTGAAAATGCTTCTTGGAGGCTTTGTTTGAAAATGCAGCATCATGTAAGAACCCTTCCAACAGATGGTTCCTGTCTTTTTTCCTCATAGTATCATGCTAACACAACTTTAGTGATTCTGAACCGCATTGTTAGCACTTGGAAACCCCCTCCCCCGGAGCACAGAAGACCTCCCTTTCCCTCTGGCACCGTGTCTAGTGGTCTGTATTCCCCCTTCCCGACCCTCTCCTGGAACAAAGTAATAAATAACGACAACGACTTTCAGATGGCCCTGTCACACGGTGGGAAAGGTAGGAGGAGCGCCCACGGACATCTACTCTTAGGCTGCAGGACTTTGTTTGTGGCGAAGAGAGACAGACCTCTCCTTTCTTGCCTTTCGTGGACTCTAGATAATGCAAAAAATGAAAAGGTAGGTAGGCAGGAGGCAAGGGTGAGAGGGAAATTAGTGAGACTGCATTAGGAGCCCCTGGTTCTAACAGCTCCATGCATCTGATCAGTGTAATTTAATGACGAGCAACCTTGCCGCCTGACCCTCACCTCTGAACGTGTGAAGCTAAGCCAGCAGCTTTCTCTGGAGTTTCTCTGCCATTGCCACCCTGTAGTAACACGATTATAAACAACAAACTTAGCACATAGTGATTTCAGTGAATCCTCATGAGGAAGTGCTGAAATCGCACCTCCCTCCTCTATTAAATTTAAAAGGAGGAAAGCGAAAAACAGAAACTAACTGGAAACCCGAGGAAAGTAAATATTTATATTAGCAAATTTTCAAATTGCATGCTAAAGATTCAGGAAGAGGGAAAATGTTCAAACTACAGCCTCCATTAGTTTGATATTTCCAGGCCATACATGTGGTCATAAGTGTGACTGGGGGAACTGGGTGGGGCTGAGATAAGAGGGGGTTAAGAAGAAATGTGCAACAGAGTGGAAGAAATTGAAAGACACCGAGGCCATTAAAAACACCCAGATAAAGGCTGAACTCTTCATAGAATGAGTAATAATTCGGGGGAGTGGGCAGATGACTGGCTGCAGTGCAGGTGATTTTTCAGGAAGTGACACTGTTCTATAAGGCACTGCAATAATGGATACATTTGTCAACACACAGAACCTACAAGGCAAAGGATGAACCCTAATGTAAACTTCTTGTAACAAATGTACCACATTAACAAAAGAGGTTAATAAATAGAGGAAACTGTACTGGGGGGTGTGTAACAGTAAAATCCTGTACTTTTTGTTAGCCTAAAACTGAGAACCTAAAATTGCTCTAAAAAAAAATAAAGCCTATTCATTAAAAAAATCATAACTGAAGACAAACCCAGGGGGAAAACATTTAATTAAGTATTTTAGTTGTTTTGGTTAATATGAAAATAGCTTTAACCTTTTTTTAATGCACAGATTAATAATCTAAAAGTTTATCAACTCTAACAAGAAATGATTTTTAATTAAAGCACATAATCTTTGGATTCTGTTTAGCTCTGTAATGCAGTTATAGGAGAGGTCATGACAAAAATGTCTGCGGTCAGCTAGCCGAGCACAGCAAAGTAAAAAGAGCAAGTTTCTTAACCTCTTTGAGCATCACAGTCTCCTTCATCTGTAAAAAGGGACAATAACAGCACCCGTAGAAGGACTGAATGAGATTATGTTTACAAAGTGCCTAGCACAGTGCCTGATACATAGTATATGCTTGATAAATGCTAGCTACTGTAATTTGGCATATTAGTATTGTGCTAACAGGGCTAACATTATGCATTTAATCAACTTATGTGCCAGTTAGCTTATTTCTACTTCAAGGTTGTAGAATGCACCCCCCCAGCCCCACTCATTTGTAAAAAGTGTCCACTGCACCTCTAACATGGACATTGAGCTCTTCCAACTCGGGGAAGGGGGCAGGGCTGCAAGAAATAGTTAAGGATTTTGACTCCTCCTGCAGCTTGAGTGTTCAGTCTTTCGGAAAGGTGTGTGGGTGAAGAGACCTGAGCTGGGGGCCGGATCCTTACCCCAGCAGCCGAGGTTTTCTTGTGACATGTACCCCGACAAACCTGGATTAAAGATCTGCAAGAGGGAGGGGGGCTCTGGCCAGCAGTTTGGCTTGAAGCCATGATTTAGCTGACACAGCCCAGTCCCACTCTTGCCAAACAGTTTTAGTCAGCACGAGGCCATGTGTGAGTGAGTCCTACAGCGATTACACAGCAGTGTGCAGAATCAAAAAGCATTCAAGAGCCGAAGGACGCTCACGATGCCAGACATCAGCAACATAACCCCCGAAATGGGGACAGGAAACCAAACCAGGTCCCTCTGCAAATTCAATCTGTGGTCTGCCCATACCCTCTGGCAGTCTTGAAGGCAGGTTTAGAATTCGCTTGGCAACCATGCTATGTAGACTGAATGGAGGTCTAATCTAGCTTGGAACTGATAGGCCTTGGGATATAAGATCTTAAAGGGACATATGGAAAGTGGAAGAGGGACATGATTCTGGGAGTGGTCCTAAGCAGCATGGGCCTTCTCTACAACACCTAGGCCTTGGGACACTGATGGTAATAAAGACAAAATATAAGCATTACAGCAGCCAGGGTAGAACAAAACAGTCTGGTGCTCCAATGTTAGAGCTAAAGGGATTTTCTTTTCACTCTTGAAGGCTATGTTTTTAGTAAGGGCTCAATGGCGTATTTCCCTGTAATGCCATTATGACATATATATGTACATATATATATATATATATCATCTATATCATTTTACTATTAAAATGACAAGAAAAATGTGGGATAGCGATCCTTTTTAAAAGTCTTACAAAGTGAAAAAAATTTTTTTTAAATCTATAAATGCATTATTTGATCATGTAAATGACTGGCTAGTTAGCTGTGCGAGGGCAGGCAGCATATATCCTGGGGATAGAACAAGGCCATCTCGTCTCTTCTTCACTGGTTGGTACTTTAAGCACATTTGATAACATGGCATTCCATGTTACTCCATTCCAACTCACACCCTCCTGCTCCTAATGCCTCATCCGTTATGGTTCCGCCTCCCTAACACTAGAACACCCCAGCATCAACCAAGGATCCCGGCTCCCAGAATTCCCACACTCATAGTTACTTCCCCCTACTTTCCTTGTCTTGTCCCACATTGTACATTTCTTCAAGTCCCCTTGGGCCCGTGTAAGAGGACATTTTCTAGCATTACACAGACTTAGCTTCAACTATTTACCCACTGTTTGACTTCGGGTAAATGACATAAATAGACCCACAATTTAACTCATTTGTAAAAAATGAGAGTAATTACTTATCTGACAAGTTTATTGCAAAGATAATTTATGCAACATACATGAAAACACAGCATAGCGTCTGGCAGATAGTGAATGCTCAACAGTCATTAGATTTTTTTTGTCTAGCCCTCAGACTCCAGATCCTCTGCTTCCATCTTATATCCCACTTTCTGGATTCTTAATAGTCTTCCAGCTTTAAGAAATAAGAACAGACGGAATCTGAGCCTGTGAGATTGGGATGGCTTGGCTTGCTTGACCCGACATCTTGTCAGAGATGGACTGGTGTACTCAGTCAGTCTTGCAATACCGTAATGCAGTGAATGGGGGGTATGAAATTGAAATGAAAATATTCATTTTTACTCCACCTCATTCCAGAAAGGATTTGATGCAGCTTGATACCAATGTTAACAATGTAAAGCAGTCTTTTGAAGTAGGAGGAGAATAAAAAGTAAAATTTTAATATTTCCTACTTATATTTTCCTCTTCTTGTTGGCACCCACAACACTATACTCATTGCAGGTATGCATTTAAATAAAAAAAAAAAAGAGATGTTTTTGAGGGAAGGCAAGAGTAAGAGTGTGTGTGTGTGTGTGTGTGTGTGTGTGTGTGTGTGTGACAGAGAGAAAGAGAGAGACTGAGGGAGAGAGGAGGGGAGAATCCTATACCTTCTCCTTGGACTGTCTGGATTATGTCATAGCAAAAATACAATCAATGACCCCTTTGATCAATGCAACAGGGTGGTGACAGGTACTCTTAACTCATTGTTGTTGGTGATTATTGACAAGCGGGTAATGATCATGCCCTACTGTGTCACTCAGCCTGAGGGCATTAGCATTCTTTAAAGGTCACAAACAAATTCTTTTAAAATGCAGAATTTCTTAGAAACCAGGGAAGCCTCAGAAATTTTTTCAACCAGGTTCACACTATAAAGTAGGGAATATGTGAGACAGTCAGGATTTCAGTTCTTTCCCTGTGTCTCACATTAAAATGATATTTAATTTTTCCTGATTTAAATTCTTGGCTGTCAAATAAACTGCGTGGCAAAATTCTTCCAATGGGTAAATGGAAAAGGGATTCTGAAAGCTATTTATGTCTCTTGGAGGCCGAGGCAGACAGCACAAACCCAAGACAAATCTGTACCAAATCAAAGCAAAATTATACTTACTCTGTGACACTCTTACGAGCTCAGTCACACTAAAAACACCTGATGTGACAAAACTGTCTTGGAAGCCCAAATGTCCTGGGGAAACAAAAACAAAAGAAACAGCGTCATAAACAGAAGACATCTGACAACAGAATTCTAAATATTAGTTTCATTGTGATTAAAAAGGGCAATGTCTAATTTCCTACTCCGCTCTATTAGAGCTGACGTGGGCAGGGACAGTCATTTCGTTACATAGCTGGTTTTCTGGTTTGAATCTGGGGGCTATGGAAAGCTCTGACACAACTGGGTGATTTCTGAAATGGTTTAAAAAAAAAAACTCAACAGGAAATCTGAAACAAAAGAAGATTTAAAATAAATGGTTACCTTGGCTGACCTCCGAGACCTTAACAGCTGGGCTGAAAACAGCCTACCTAGGAATCAGCCAGGGTACCTAAATTCCAGAACAGTTTTTCAACATTATTCTCTAAAGAAACATCTGATCAGGATTAGCTCTCCATCCATTCAGATCAAACAAGATTTAAAGATGTTCTCTTCATTTTTAGAGGCACCACAGGGTGAAATCTTGAAAAAGCCAAACCAGTAAAGGCAAGCCTCAACCCTGAAACATGAAAACAAATTCTTTGGAGCACAAATAAAAATTTAGATTTGTTTTGAGAACAAGAGGGTTTTTTTGTGAGTGGGTGTGTTGAGTTTTTTTTTTTTTTTTGGAGAAAAGACAATGAACCAATCGTTCGACATGACAATCTTTGAATTTTGCATCTGCTTTATTTTTGCTGGATATAATTAATTCCTTTAAGATATCTGCTATTACAATCTCTTATCATTTGCTTGTTTATTTTTATAGTACATTCAGGAACATAAAACTTATAAATAGCAAGGAATACATAATTTAGGATATGTTGTTTCCTTCTCTGCTTCTCAAGTTTTCTGATTCTGAGTCTCAGATAGATAAAATCTAGTTGAGATGTGTCTTTAGGGTTAGCATAATCACCTCCTTTAAAATCAGGGCCAAAGGAGAAGCTCGCCGAAGGGATTTTTAAAGTAATTGTCCTTTGAAATAAGAAACATACTTTTAAGAAATGCAACATAAGAAAACAGGTCAATATGAATACATAACAAACAGCCCGCAAGTAAGATTTATGTTATTGACAAAAAATAGATTTTGCCCACCACCAAGAAGAGGCAAATTTACCTATGGTATAGTTTACACACCAATAGATTCATTAAATGTCACGCACATAAACATGTGCAACAAATCACTATGTTTTGGAGAATTATAAAGGTACCGACAAATTATTCTTTTTCTGGTTGCATTAGAATTAAGAAAGATTTTTTTGTTGAATTTAAAATATTTTTTCAGTTAATTTTTATATCAAACACAATCTATGTTATTTTAGATAAAACAGCTCTAAGTTTTAGAACATGCAGTAACTATAAATTGCTTTCTAAAAAAGATTTTATTTGTCAGAGAGAGAGAGAGTGAGTGCACAAGCGGGGGGGGAGGCAGCAGGCGGAGGGAGAAGCAGGCACCCCACTGAGCAAGGAGCTGTATGCAGAACTCCATCCCAGGACCCTGGGATCATGCCCTGAGCCGAAGGCTGACGCTTAACCGCCTGAGACACCCAGGTGCCCCTATAAATTGCTTTTTAAAAGTAAAATGGCAAACTTTCATTTGAAGACGTGCTTAAGAAATTTCACCCCTCGAAACAACCCCCACCCAGGTCTTCAGCTGACTTTAATTTGGTAAGCGCCTGAGGTGTTGTCTCTTAGATGAAAAGAGCTGAGAAATAAAAATAAGCAAATAAATAAAAATTCTCTAAAGTGGTCTTGGCAAAATGGACCATAACATCTCTTCCTATTGTGATGTTGACATCACATTAATCCCACAGACTATAACAAATGAAATCCAACCACAACGTACATGAAGTTTGACTTAAACACATCTAGCGAGAGCAAGGAAATGCAGGCTTGAATGGGAAACTCGGGGTTGATGTCCAGCTCTTGTTCATCGCTGTCTGTGGCTCTTGCTTGCGGGCTGATACTTGCTTCAGTTCCAACCTTTGAAATTCCTTACTTTAAGGACAACTTCACAAGAATTTCTGTACAGAGTGAATGTGAACACATGCACTTCACTAGTGCCACCGAAAAAGCAAGCACTGTATCTTGAAAACTAAGTTTAGTGTGGTGCAAGGACTCGGGAGGGGGAAACACCTGCAAGCATTCATTCCAATATCACCTCTGGATTGCCTCTTCTCTTCTCTCCACCTCTTAGATGTAGTTTCTCCCGGGTTTGTGCTCAATAGCACAAATTACCTAGTTACTTCCCCTGCTTCCACGATATCAGTTACCAGTCTTGACTCTGATATTTGTGAAAACTAGAATAACGTTTGTCTCATTCACCACTGTATTTAACGCCTGGGACAAAGCAGTTAGTACGAGAATACTTGTTGAATGAGTGAATGGATGACTCTATAAGCCAATGACTCCCAGACCTCTGTCTTTTGCCAAGAGCTCTCTCAAAATGTTTATTGGATATTTCTACCCAGATAGCCCCAACGTGTCCAGTGCCAACGTGTTCAATGTTCTTTTCCTCCCCAAGCCTGTTCTGATGCTTTGGAATTCCCTACTTTAGTGAACCATCCACCACCATCTTGTTTTCTATGTTTTGGTGCCATCCCTAACTCCTGCTTCTTACAAAAACCCACATCCAACTAATCCTCACTGATTCCATTTTTTACTATTTCTTTTTTTTATATATATATATATACTATTTCTTGACTTCCAAGTACATCTCCATTCCCCCTCCCCTGCCTTCCCTCCCCAAGTCTGTGGCTCAGGCTCTTCCCAATTCTAACCAGTCTGATGGGGCAGCCTCCTAACTATGTTCTCTATTGTCAGTCCTGGCTTCTCCATAGTCTACTGTCTACTCTACAGCCAGAGCTGTCTCACTAACAAGCAAATCTGAAGGCTCATTCATTTATTCAACAAATATTTATTGAGCACCTATCATGAGCCAGGCATTGTGCTAGGGGTTCAAGATATAGCTCCCACATTCAGGGAATTTACAGTCTAGGATTAGAGATAGCTGAACACATAAATTATTTTAAAAATTATAAACAGTATAAATGAAATGAAGAAAATAACTAGGAAACACTTTAGAAAGGGTGGTTAGTGAAGGTCTCTCTTAAGAGCTGACATCTGAGAGATACAAAGGAGAGAGCCAGGAGAATAAGGGGAAAGAGCTCTTTAGGCAGTGGGATTAGCATGTGCAAAGGCCCTGAGGTAGGAAAGAATGAGATGCTGGAGAATCTGAAATAAATCCAATGTGTCCTGTCAGAAATCTTGCAAGAGCCCCACAGAGAGCACAGGGAACAGCACAAATTCCATCACATGGCATACAACCTTGACAACCTCTATTTTCCTCTCTATGCTCATTTTTTTTTTAAAGATTTTATTTATTTATTTGTCAGAGATAGAGAGCACAAACAGGGGGAGTGGCAGGCAGAGGGGGAAGCAGGCAGAAAGAGAAGCAGGCTCCCTGATGAGCAAGGAGCCCAAGGCAAGCCCTGATCCCAGGACCCTGAGATCATGACCCAAGCTGAAGGCAGACACCCAACCGACTGAGCCATCCAGGTATTCCCACTCATTTGTTTTAAAAAAAATCTCTTCTCTCTCTCTTCTGGCCCTACCCCATGCGCCTAAGGGAATACTTGCTTCACCATGGTCTGGTTCATTCCTCTCCCCACACTGTTCCCTCTTCCTGGAAGGTCTCTGTCCTTCTGGCTCTTTGCTTGGCCAACCTCTTACTTGTCCTTTAGGACTCAGCTTTGTTGTCATTCTAACAAAAGCCTTTCCTGGTTACCTGCACCACTGGCAAAGACTCCTTTTCTCTTTTCTCAGTATTGACCAGGTGTACGGAGTATACCTCTAATCTAGGACCCAGCACACTGAACTGTAATTTTGTCTTTTTCTCATATTAGACTGTGAGCCCTTTGAGAAAGAACATCTTCTGTGCCTCCAGGTCCTAACACAGTGCCTGGCAGAGAGTAAGCACTCCAGGGGTGTCTCAGAGGGAACACAACCCAATTTGGGCTTAAGGATGTTTATTTTCCTTTTTATAGAAATGTTGACAGAACTTTATTTTTGTCTCTTTCTCTCTCATCTCTAGCAATATAGTTTGAACTAAAATGGAACCAATGTACATCTGAAAACTATTAAACTGAACAATCCAAATAGTCCCTCCAGACTAAACAGGACAAGGGCTGAAGAGTCAATCCATTTAGGATGGAGTTTCCAATCAAGAAGGTGACATCAGGTTCTCTGATGACAAATGCCTGAGGGGTTGTCCTATTGTTGTGATTGTGGTTCCTATGTTGGGGGACTGAGTTAAAACAGAATTAAAGGGCAGCATGATTTAGTGGACATAAGGGGCCAAAAAAAAAAAAGAGTCTAGTCCCAAGCTTAAACTAGGATCTTGTGTGATCCTGAGAAAGTCACTGCAAAAAATCATGATTGGATCCTCCTTGTCCTCTGCGCAACCTGCTCCCTCAGGCTGATTTTAGTAGAATGCGTGTAATTTAGAGGGTGGACTATATGTGACTGTACAATAATCAGAAAAATTAAAATAAAAAGTAGAATGATTTCACAAGTCCTGATGTGACCACCTCATCTGTAATGTGTCCCTGGGGAAAGGTACATGTAAACACTCCAAGTAACTTTAAGGAATTATGAAACTGGTTTTGTTCCTTCACCAATTATTTGGAAACCCGCTGGTGAACTCTAGAGGAAGAAAGCAATGAGAAATGAAACTTAAGAAATGATGGAAAAAGTGACACGTCTAATGTAATTACTAAGCAAAGTTGAGCAGATTAATATTTCATTCTTGCTAACACAGACCAAATCATAAAAATGACTTTCAGGGAAATAACACTAATCTGGGTGTTCTACTTTATTGCAAGATGAGAGAAAAATGGAAAAGAAAATAAAAAGGTCAATTTCAGTAATTCTGAACTTCGATGTTCACATTAAAAGATCCTCAGTTAGAAAGCTGATTAAATGTCCCTGAAAGGTCCCAA